CCCACATCGGGCTCCCTGCTCGGCAGGAAGCCTGCTTCTCGCTCTCCCACTCCCCCTGCTTGTGTTCCCGCTCTCGCTATCTCTCTCTCTCTCTCTGTCAAATAAATAAATAAATAAATCTTTAAAAAAAAAAAAGAAACCCATTCTGGGGGAAAACAGTTTCAGACCTAAATACCAGGGTTATAGAATTTATAAGGAAGATCCATACAGATAAATATACACAAAAAAGGAGAAAAATATATCGTACCTAGTAGAAAAAGAAGTGACAGAAACATCTGCAATTTCTTTCACTGCAGAAATGACTTTGTCCAGGTCTTCGGTGCAGTTAACACTGAATTCTACTCTATGCGTCCCTGCTGTGGGGTAGTTGGGAGCTTTGGAAGGATGTATGGGCCTGGAGGTGCAAACTCCTAGGAAAAAAATGGTGGGTTTTTTTTTTTTTAATTAAAAAGATAAACTATTATGGGCAAAATTTTAAGGAAATGAGTTTTTAAAGATCAATTCTCAGATACTTATGTAACACACACACACATACACACATACCCCTTACATATATACCTAAATCCCCATAATCTAGGGATTTAGTACATACAAAATCAAATTTATTTTCAGAATTATTTTCCAGAAGACTCTTAAATATCACAAAAACTTGACTCATGAATTCTTAGAGGATATACAGAATTGTGACTGCTTCCTAAATTTATTCATGTAAACCATCATTCCGGTTGCAAATGCTCATAATCTACTTGACCACATTAATCCAGATATGTCATCATAAAAGCTTCAACCCCAATGAGTAAACTAAAATAACTTACTAAAAACAAAACTAAAACACATAGGCTGAAGTCCTTCATTGTACTGGGCTTGAGCAAGCATTCAATAAAACTCTGATGTCTATTTAACTGACACATGAAGTATATTCTGGAGAGGTCTGAGCTCTCGACTCAATTTAACAAGCACTTCTCGAATTTCTGGGTGCTAGGCACTGTGCCACATGAGTGAGGACTCACAAAGATCAGTACAGCAATGAAGATTTCCTATGCTCTCCTTACTCATTAAGGATAAAAATTAAGTTTCTCAAATACAATTGCTAGATTTCACAACATTATTTTTAAATATATAAAAATAAAATAACGGTACCCACATCTAAAGCAGTTAAAATTCTGTTGGAAAGACATTCTAAAATTTCAAAGCATTTGTAGGGAAAATATTAAACATGAAAGAATAAGAGCTTCTCACCAAGCCCTTTAGCCAACCAGCTGTTGACTCCCTGGGGTGCAGCATCATAGGCTGTGTGAGGAGAGTAAATACCGACTCTGTTTTCCAGAGCCCGGATCACCAGGCGTTCCTTCCAGGTTTTCCAGGTAATGTGCTTTAAGGGTCGGAAAATAGGTGGATGGTAGGAGAGAATGAGATCCACCTTCTTTTGCAGCGCCTCCTCCATTACTTCCTCGGTCAAGTCATTGGTAAGGAAGAGTGTGTGTACAGTGTGTGGTGGGCTTGGTTCCACCAGTAATCCAACATTGTCCCAACTCTCAGCAAGTGAGAGGGATGCAAAGTCATTCAAGGAGGAAAGGAGCACCTTCAAATCCATGAAGGAACGGGAAAAATTGCAGATCGGGGAATGAACAAGCCGGATTGTTCTGGGAATGAGGCGTACAGGAGAGGACAACATACAGAAATCAGGCAAAACTGAGTGTCTGAAGTCAAAACACAGAAAAAGGGTACACAGATACACGTTAGGCCTGGACCTTGGAGGGAGCAAACCATATGAGTAAAAGAGCTGTAGTCACATATTCCTGGGTTCAAATACTGATTCTGCCACTTACCAGGACAAAGTATATTAGATACGTCATTTAACCTGAGGTTATTTTCTCATTTACAAAATGGGAGACACTATAACCTACATCAGAGGCCATTCACAGGACAAATCAATTAATATGTGTAAGTCACCTAGCATGAACCTGGTACATAATACACAAATGTTCATCCCCACCTCCTCGACCTCACACACACCCTGATTCTTGTTCTTCCCATCCTTGCTTCAACCACTCTCCTCCCTTCTCCAGTTCTCTAAATACTACCCTTCCAAGTCTCCTTCAACTTCCTAAAGCTTTTCTCGACAAACCTTTTCAGTGTCTACACCCTATACAAAACTAACACTATCAACTCCATTAAGAATCCAGGAACATTTCTATTTTTGAAGAACAGCATTCATAGTATGCATAATAATTAACAAGATAAGCACAGCCAATCGTAAATTTAATCAAGTATTCGTAACCCAGTAATTTCAAAAACAAGTTTTTCAACAAAAATATTTAACAAATTTGTTGAAAAAAGTATTTTTTCAGCAAAAATATTTACTACTACATGTGTGTACTTATTCAGAATCTGACTGGAAATGCTGCGGAGCCTCCAAAATCCACTGGAGCCTGGGGTCTTGGAAGATCTTCTAAAGGTTCTTATACCACTTTCCCTCTCCGATTCCAAGTACTGATACCGCCCCGCTCTCCAGACTCTTCTAAATCTGGCAGGCGTGAAAGTGAAGCCCTAGTGGGCCACCACAGCTTTGAGTTATTTACTGCTAAATTTGAAAGAGCCCTTGAAAATAACACAGAACACCCTCCATTTCACAGATCAGGAAACTGAGAGGCTGCGTGGCTTCACGCCGCAATTAACAAAGGGAGGCGGCACACGTGGTGGTAGAGCACCGACTCTGAAACGAGACTGACTGCCAGAGCCACAGCTGTGTAACAAATTACCTAACCTCTGCTGTCCTCCTAAGAATGAAAATAGTGCCCCGCTTACGGTGTGGTCGCAAGATTTAACCGTACAGCTGGGAACAATGCCTACTGTCAGTTTTTTTTTTTTAAAGATTTTTATTTATTTTGACAGAGAGAGACCCAGTGAGAGAAGGAGCACAAGCAGGGGGAGTGGAGAGGGAGAAGCAGGCTTCCCGTGGAGCAGGGAG